ATAGTCCCTTCATCAACTGATTTAGACGAAGCAGCTTCAGCAGAGGATGATGGAGCAGGAGCTGCCAATACCAAAGCCTTCAAAGGAGAGGCTGAACTTTTCTGAGAAATTCAAGCAAACCATTAGCACATAAAAAGGTTTCAAATAAACCATTAGCACATAGAAAGGTATGTTTGTGAATAAATAGAATTCAATTACCTTTCTCCTAATGATGAGAGGAGTGTCATCATCATCATCATCATCCTCCAAAACGGGAGATGCTGAAACTGACCGTTTCGGCTTAAGGCACTTTTAATTGCAGTAGCCTTGGCAGGTAGAGAAGTAGATGGATGAATAGATTATTTAGCACGAGAAGGGGAGGAAAGATTCCTAGTGGACACAGGGGTGACCAAAATAGGAGAAGTGGAAGAAGTGTTTGGCTGATCCAGTGAATGGAAAGCACGATTGGCATCAGTTGCAAATAATCTGCGCTTCAGTGATGGTCAAAGTTGTTCAAAAAGGGGATGGATGACACGACTAGAATTGAAGGGGGCTAATGAAAACTTGCTTGTCAAAAGAAGGTTGTGAGCATCTATAGCTTGTGCCTCGGCCCTATTAATGGTGTGAAAGCGGTCTGTCAAATTTTTAGAGTAACAAGGAGGAACAGGCCAAGTGATGAGTGTAATTCATTCATTAAACTAAAGCTTCTAAATCAAGTTTTTTGACGTGTTCTTGAGCACTTTTGAACGTTTTGATGTGTGTGTTAGTGTTGTTTTGCAGTTTGGACAATTCTCAAGAAAATACCACTATTGGGATCCGGTGATGAGCAAAAATGATGATCAATGAATGGAGCATGAATAAGCAAGTATTGAATAAGATTGGAGTGGGAAATAGGCTTGAAAAAATAAAGAGAAGAGGATTAAAGCAGTGGCATTGGCGTTACGGCGCCGAAAAAAGGGCGCCATGAGAAGCAAAAGCCAGCAGAAACCTGGGCGCCATGGCGCCCAAGGGAGAAAAAAGAAGCAGAACATTGGGCGCCACGGCGCCAGACCTGGGCGCCATGGCGCCCATGAAGGAAAAAACGGGGCAGAGACTTAGGCGCCACGGCGCCAGACCTAAGCGCCATGGCGCCCGTTTCCAAAACATTAAAATCCGGGTTTTTAAGTATTTTTTCGGCCCAAAAATCACACCCTAACCCTTGAGGACCCTTAGAAAATATAAATACCCAACTGAAGAACAAGAGAAGGGGTTGGACGACTGAAGAAAGGAGGCAAGGATATACACTAATTGAGAGAAGATCGAACCGATTTTGGAGAAGAAGAAGAAGAAAAACTGAGAATCAAGCCACAAGATTGAGAAATAAAGCAACAACCTGAGTTTTTTCTTATCTTTCTCCTCTTCATGAAATTTAATTTGTGTTTTATCATGTTCTTCTTTTCAAAAGGTTTGATGTAACCTATTTGAGACATGATTCAATTTCTTTATAGTATTTCTATTTAATTTTCCAGAATTGAATTTATATCGTTCTTGCTTAATGCTTTCTTTTGCCTGATCACCAATTGAATGAATTGATGTTCTAAATTTGACGCTCGAGAGAGGGAAATTTAGGCGTGATCTAAGAACAATATAACCTAGGTTTGTAGGTTTCGAGAGAAAGTACGAATCTTTGAGGGTAAAACAAGAACCAAGTACGTGATAATCTTTATATATTTAATTCGGAATAGAGATATTGGGGTTAAAATATAGAGATATGTTCTATTTGACGCTCGAGAGGGGGAAATAGAATTAATTTAGGATTCTTGCCTATGAATTTGGGAAATATTTTATAGAAATATCTATAGGGATTGAGAATTATGTCAAGAATATGGTGAAATCACTCCCTAGACATTACGTAAAATTGAGTTAATCTTTAGAAATTGCCTCACTTTTATTGCACTATTTAATTCATTGACGTTAATTTAGTAGTCAAATATTAATTTAACACTCGATTGTCTAGATAAAGTAAACGCGGACACAATTATAGTACTCAGTGGAAGTCGAATATCAATCCATGTGGGTTCGACACTTTTTAATTCTTTAATATACTACAAAACTTGACACCATGCGCTTGCGGTAAAAATCACGTTATATAAAACGCGTGGCACCAAGTTTGGCCAAAACCAAGTTAGCGAACAAAAAATTGGGGAGCATATATTTCGACCCCAGCTTTGGCATTAGTTCCAGTTAAAATGTCATGGAACAACTCACTCCCAGTCAAAAATTGAACCCAAACGAGCAGAGAGGCGTTCGCACTGTCCAGGGTGGATGGAGATTGCACATAATCTGGAGTCAAATGAGCAGGAAAAGGAAAGAAAGAAGGAATCAAATTTAAGGAATAAAAGAATGAAAAAATGTCCCTACTGGACATATGTACAAGGGTCAGTGGATCAATGACTAGCCCATAGCAGCTAGCAGAACTACTGGAAATGGATGGAGCACCAAGTGGTGGAAAATATGCTCTCAACCACAGTTGAGTGAACCAAAGAGGCCTACTGCCAGTGAGAGATGCATCATTCTTCAATTGAAATTGAAGAGAAGTCATGCCTCTATAAAGGGCAGCCAAAAAGAAGGAACACAAATTCAAAGGTCTACCACGCGCCAATTCATGCGCTATGGATAAGTAACTCATGGAAGGTTTCATACTTGGCACACAAAGAATATATACAAAACCAAATCTGAAGGAAGGCTATACGCTCAGCATGGGAGGGTTCAGCGTTTGAGTGATTATAAAAGCCTTGTAGGCTTGAGTAGGACTTAGTGAATTTTTTGTCAAATTTCGGGGCGACACCGGAAATCAAAATATCAGGGAAAATGGTATCGCCCAATGGTGGAAGATTTACTAGAGCCCCAACATCCCTCAAAGTAATGACATGAGACCAAGAGGGAAAACAAATGTATTATATTTAGAAGACCAAAAACTCAAAGCAATAGGAAAAAGCACTGGGTCAAAAATTGGGGATTGAAGAGCGATTTCTAATAAATCAGAAATCCTAGCACGATAAAAAAATTGCCTTGGTAGGACCATGGCCCACAAGGCAAGCATGCTATCTACGGAAAACAACGTCAGATTTAGGCTAAGTGCGAATACCTTTTTCACGAATCGGCCTCAACGGTAAGGAGTTCAGGAATGGAGGGTCTTGAGTGCAAGGGAAAAGTTGACCCACCCCACTTGTTCGACGGCTTCGGCGTTATTGAATGATGGGCTCAGATAGAACTTATTGAGTTCGGTATTGGCTGGTGCAAGGAAGTTCGGATTTACATATGGCCGAGTGAGGATTTTCTGAAAATCTTCAAAGCTAAAAGAGTCATCAGGTTGGGTTTGTGGAGCTACCATTGGAAACAAAGTACAGTTTTGACAATGTTTGCCTAGAAAACGTAGCAGAGAAGCAAGAAGTTGAACAGTAAAATAGCGAGGAAGAAGCGCGAAATATAGACGTGGTCGAGTGGTGCAATGAAATGACGTGTCCTTTTGGTTTATAAGGGTTTGTAACGTTGCACTTTTTCAGATTGTAGAAGGAAATAATGATTGAAATTCTTGGAAACTTCAAATGTTGTCGGAAAACACAAAATGAATATAGCAAAGATTAATAATTAGTATTAATTCTGTCATATTGGGGGGTAATTATTGACACACTAAAAGTGCAGCCCAAATCAAATAGCCCAAAGAATAAAACCCAATTGGGCAATTCAGAATAAAGGCCTAGACAGGATTATTAATGAATGTAGTGGAAGCCCACGAATACAGTAATATCATCGCCCAAACTTACAAGACGCCCAAGATCTGAGCGAATGGAGTGCCTTACAGTCGCCCAGAGCGATAACCCTATTCTCGCCTATACCTTTGAATCGTCTAGGATTTTAGCAAACATGAATTGTTACGGTTATCCAGAAATGCAGTTATTGAGTAATCTTATCACATTCCACGATTCAGGGAACCTAGCTGAAGACGGTTGAACGAAGAAGAGTAGTGGCAGCAGTTAGAGATGGCAATTCCACGACAAGTTAGCCACTATAAAGAGAGTGGGTAGTTATAAAGCAATCAAGCAGTTTCCAAGCAGTTTGTCACGAAAAAATCATCAAGTGAATATAAAAGGGAGAGAAGACATAGAGAAAAGGACCCCCCGAATCAAACACTTTCAAACAGAGAATATGTAATTTCAATTTTTTTAGTTTAAATTTAAACATTTCTTTCAGTACTCGTGTGCTTGCACCCCTTGGAGACATTCTGTTTAGTTCCAATTGTAAATTATCGCTAATAAAACATCCCTTTTTGGGACTTTGTCTCAAGAAGTTTGTTCCTTATACAATCGTCTGATCCCTTTTTAATTGCTAACGATTACCTGCGCGAAACAGATACTTTTTTTTCATGGAATTCGAATTCTTGGTTGTCTTGAAGTTTGCACTTTTTTTGATTTTTAAGGAAAATATATGGTTTTCCCACTTACTGTAGCATTTTTATTTTTATTTTCGTTTTTTTTTTTGCTTTGGCAATAAAAACAAATTCTAAGAATTATTGTAAAAAAATATTTTCTTTTAAATGACAATTTTCATGTAAAACAAAGTCAAACGAATATCGAGAGATTGATGATTTTCTTGAATTTTTTTTGTTGGCAATGGAAACAAATTTAATCCCCAATACCAATAAAATATATATCTTTAATTGACAATTTTCATATAAAATAAAATCAAATGAACACGAAAAAATACTTTTATTTCAACATTTTTCACATGAAAAATTATACCAATCAAACAAAATAATTTACAATTCTCAAGAAAATAATTCTAGACAATTTAATTTTCTGAAATTCATTTTCTAGACAATTTAATTTCATATTTACAAACGGACCCTAAAATTTAATAAATTGAAGAAAATATAAATTATAAGAAATGTTTGACCCAATAGGGGCCATATTGCAGATTGCACGCGTATTACTAAAAAACTACTAGTATTTTTTCGAAATAAAAACAAGCAAGTGGAAGTGTTGACGTTTGGCCAAACTGTCATACGCGGTACATAAAAGCAGCCTACTTTCAGACGGAGATGTTTTGGGGGTCTTTCGCTGAAATCGGTGAAATCAAAGCTCGGATCCCCAACTAGATCTCATTTCTTGATTCCCGTTGGAATCCCGGATAACAAGAATCCCATTTTTCTGTTTATGTTTCTTCATCTTTCAAATTCCCCGAACGACGAGCTCTGAATTGGAATTCTCTCGTCAGTTCAATACAAAATGAGGTTCTTAAAATCAAACCCCTTTCACTGGGGATCTATTTCTCTTTACCTTTCCTTGATATTTCTCGTCTTCCTTTTCTTTTCCCCTCCCGTGATTCTTGCTCAGGTATTTTTTTTTTCTCTTTTCTATATGTTCAAATTTTGTTCTTGATATTCTGTGACACCTGGTTTTCATGTTTGAAATAACTAGGAAAATGGAAGGGAGGAGTCAAATGCTGGAATCAAGGATCTGGGCCGACGAAGTAAAGTGAGTATGCTCTTTGTATAAATTTGATCTTTTAAACTGGCTATTTAGGACTAAATGTAAACTGGGACCTTGGTTGAAGAATATTAAAGACTGATGGCTAATTAATAACTATGGATTTACTATTAAAGTTTGATGATAATTGTTCTTTTTTAAATTTGCTGAACAGATTTTTGTAGACAAAATCAAGACAGGTATTGCAATAGATGAGAACGACCCTGATTCTATTAATCTTGGTGTTGAGTTGGACTCTGGTCTTGGAGTATTTGATGCTTTCTTTGCTAGCTTTTCCATGATTCTTGTCAGTGAGGTTAGTGAATGCATTTCTTTAGTACCATATACTGCCAAACTTATGTTGTTGCGCACTGTTAGTGGGGTTTTCTAATGCTCTGCTTTTGATGGTTCATGGCATTCTCGAAGATGTTGAATATAGTTCGATGAGATACATACTCTGCTTGTTTTACTAATTTGGATCTTACTTTAAATTCTGGAGTGCATATTTTGGCTTATGAATTCAGAATTTCTTTCAGGCAGATAATTAACTCAGTTTGTTGGGAGCTTTCATCGATTATTCCTTGAATATTGTCTAATGATGGTTTTGCTTTTAGATTGGAGATGAGACTTTTATAATAGCTGCTCTCATGGCAATGCGTCACCCCAAGTCAATTGTTTTGTCTGGAGCACTAAGTGCCTTGTTTGTGATGACGGTAGGTTAATTTCTTGTCTTGTTTTCTGAAATGAAGTGTATTTCACCTGTTTAGACATAATTCAGGCTTCCTGTGTTTTTGGTTATTCGAAACTGCTGTCTTGTGGATGGTACTAAGATTGGACTCCTTGCACGTGTTAACTAGGTACTATCGACTGGTCTTGGTAGGATCGTACCAAATTTAATATCGAGAAAGCATACAAACAGCGCAGCTACCGGTTTGCGATTTCTACTGCTTTTTTCTTTTTCTTTTTTTTTTTTACCTGTAAAATCCTTCCTTTTTTTGTTGTGCTTTTTGTCAAATGAGTCAACATTTACTTGTAAAAAGATGTTTTTCTAAAGATTATAAACTCAATATGGTTTATATAAGAAATTCGAGAAAATTTGACCTTGATGTTCCCATGCTTATATATCTTTTGATGTTGAAAGGCATGGAGAGACTGAATTCTTCTGTAGTTCTTTCCTTACATTCACATAGCTAGGTGGTGAATCCCATGTAATATTTTTAAGAGCAGTATGGCAGCGGTAATTTTCCACCCTAACTTTAGATGGATTCCACCAAAATAGTTGGATCAACGTCTATTGCTTCTCAATCACAGACGATGCATTAACAGAGAAGTAGAATTTAGGAAATGAGATATAGAGAAAAGAAATATAAAGATGGAAGAAAAAGGGGAAGGAGAAGAGAGAAATAGGAAGAAAAATAAGAGGAGAGAAGAAGAATTTGGAGAGGAAAATCTATAATATAATCAATAATTCATTATCAATAGCTTGAATACAGTGAAATCATGGGTTCCATTTATAGGATAATGAATTTAAATAGAATGGAACTTTTAATAGATATGATGTAGGACAATCATATGATAGAAAAGTTAGCCATTATAATCAAATTATTCTCTACATATTTTTTAAGTTTTTGATCTTTATTCTTGTTTCAAGAATTTCAATTTCGCTTCTACACCAAAATAACTACTAAAAAAAATAAATTCTTGTTAATCAAATTACTAAAATCTGATCTAATTAGAAATTACATCCTATTTATCCTAATATATCTTCAATTCCTCAACCACCAATACTCCCACCAATACTCTTCTTTACTCTTAAATGTCCTACAAACCAAATCAAATAGGAAATCGATGAAGGAAAAAAGAGAACGCCATCTCTTTTCAAATTCGCTTCCTGTGAACCCCACACTCAGCTGTTTACTTCATATCACCCAGCCCAGCTCTTCCACCCCCACTTCCCATCAGCTAACCTGAAATATCTGGTCCACTCCTAACATGCCTCTGTCGTGCTATTGCTGCCAGTGAAGATAGAATGTTGAGGAAATCACCCAGAAGATACAAAAAAAAAAAATGATAGTCAGCAAGTTCAATGAGTTATGAGGCTGTTAAGCTTAACTCAGATGTTAAAAGAAGTTCTGTAACAATAAATGAAGAAAAGGAAATTCAGTCCAATTCATTTTAGTTGCCAGTCATCAAGAACATGCAAAATATATGAATTAATTTGTTTTACTATTTCGATTATTTCTTGCTTAAATTGTTGAAGGAAAAAAAAATAGTTTTTGTACTCAAAATTGAAATTTGAAAATGAATTGATGAAATTGAGGTCTAGCGAATTGAAGGAGGATGAGACCAAGGAGGGTGTTGGTGCATGGCAGTATGGTAGTAATGTCGGAGGTCTGCTAATAGGTGTAGTAATGAGGAGGAACTTGGGGGTGGTTGGGTTGGTGAAGACAGGAGTGGCGAATGAAGATGAAGAAGAAAGAAGTATGGATGGAGGAGCGGATGTGGTTAAATGAGGGAAAAATTGTGAGTGGGTTTCAGTAATTGGTTTCATAAATATTAGATGTTTCAAGGATTGAGACTAGAAGTACCATCTAAGGTCATTGAGTAAAGTTCCTACAACTGCTTTACTTGAAGTTTATTATTGATTTTGGACCGATAATTCTGCCTCTTTTAAGCTGATATTCTAAATTTAGGCTTTTCATCTGGTTGAAATTTGGTTTTCTTGAAGCCCCTTCTCAGTTGCTTCTGTACAAAATTTCACAGTTATAAAATGCAGTGCTGCTGTTATTACACAATCATGTGGCATACTGACAATTTAAATTGCCTTGATACCGTCTAATGAGAATCAGAGAACAAATATTCTGCTTCCAATTCTGTACAGATAACTGCTTCTATTTATTCTGCTATTGGATCATCAAATTTGTTATGAATCTGAAAAAGTTACCCTCTTGCAGTTCTTTATGCCTTTTTTGGGCTCCGACTACTTTATATCGCATGGAGATCAGATGCAAAAGCTTTGCAGAAAAAAGAAATGGAGGAAGTATGTTTTCCTAATTCGGAACTTGAGATGTATGTAGTTATCATATCTTCCAATATGAAAGACCATGATCATATTTATTCTAGAGCTGAATTCAGTTCTTAGTTGCTGTGTGCTTTTGTTTAAATGCACTGTTGGCACTAGGACAGTGTTTTCAGAAGTGCCCAAGGATTACGGCTTGAGTTCTGCCTATGAGGCATTCTTTATGAGCCTTAAAGCTCATCGTTTTTAATGTCCTGTTGTCCAGTTTACGCCTTAACTTACTTGCACATACCTCAAGGCATAAGTGTTAGGGCAGCTGAGGGAAGCATTGCGTCTGCCTTTTGTAGTCGATTTTGCCCCTTGTCTCAACTTTATATGAATGCATTCATTAGGAGCCTTAAGACATTATTTTTTTATTGTCCTTCTGTAAAGCTTATGCCTTACCTTACCAAGGCACACACCTGAACCATTTACTCCTACAATTGAAGTATGGACCCGAAGTGAAATTTCAACATCTCGTTAGATACTAGTGAACTGAAACATCTCGTTAGATACTAGTGAACTGACAGGAGACCCGCAACGCTTAATTTTGCACATTATCTTTTTCTTTTGTATTTTTCTTGTTGTCTCTGTGTTTTTCTTTTGTGTCTTCATTGTTTCCTTTCTTGTAATGATAAAGCAAGTAAGTAGTCGGTTATTTCATTTATTTTAAGACCTTTTGTCATTGAGGAAGAGAACAAGAGCCACTGCATGCCCAACCCTCTACTCTCACAATTAAGCCCTTGTTTGATCCCCATTTTTTTGAAAACATACATTCTGAAACAGTGTTTTGACATAACTACACATTCTTCAATAGAATAATATTACACAAAAATCTAAAACTTTTCCTTATTTTTTAACCACACATTTCACATCGTTATACTATTCAAGAATGCATTTTCTTGGCAAAAATGGGGCTCAGACAAGGGCTAAAGTGCAACCCCTCATTGAAATTTTAACTTTTCGGCAGGTTACTAGTGACCAGAGACCCACAACATGTAATTTTGCATGTCATCTCTTTCTTTTTTATTTTTTTTGTTGTCTCGGTGTTATTCTTGTCTTCCGTGTTTCCTTTCCTTTGACATTAAAGTCAATAGTTAGTCAGTAATTCATTTATTTTAAGACTTTGACTTTGTGAATAGTGGTTTTATCATGCTTGCACTGCCTTTTCAAAGAATTTTGAAGATAAAATTCTGTTGAAAACTTTGTTTTGCTCATGAAAGTGTCTTGGTTGGTTTTATGTTGGTGTACACTTTCTCGAAAAATGGAAATTAGGGCAGAAAATGAGCTTATTGTGATTCAAGGATTAGAAGTTTATTGGATTAGAAGAGGAAGAATACCTCTCTCTCTCAGGTTCTCTTGATTGACTCTGTATGTTGCTGAAAAGTTGAAGACACTTCTCATTTCAGTACTTAAATCCAGTTTGTTTGCCTTGGAATCTCCCATATGCTGCATGGATCAACTTGTACCCCTACCCCCCTGCTTGCCCTTTTCATCGTATGCTGTGGAAATGACCTGACACTATGAATATGTCAGGTAGAAGAGAAACTTGAAGCTGGACAAGGGAAAACAGCATTCCGACGTTTCTTTTCTAGATTTTGTACACCAATCTTTTTAGAGGTATATTTTACTGCTACATACTTGAAGCAACATTCACAGTTCATTACATATTCATGCTTTTATTTTTTTTGTTGTATTTTTCAAGCTGATAAAATTCTGTTGAATCCAGCATTTATGGAATTTTTCTTATTTTGTTGTTTCCTTTCTTTCATGACATCTGAACATCTGGCAATTAAATTACAAATGACTAATTCTTCCTACAATCTTTATTTGCAGTCATTTATTTTGACATTTCTAGCTGAATGGGGGGATCGCAGCCAGATTGCAACAATTGCTGTAAGATTTTCCTTCCCTGCTGTGAAGTTTCTTTGGGTTATGAATATGTGGATGATCTCGAGCAAGCTCAACTTCTACAGTGATCATGGATCCCTTCATTTCTTTTCTCCCATTTTTTGCTAAAAATCACAGCCTAATATTTAGGTAATCTTTGTATCGGGAATACCATGAAAATGAATTTTAATATATAGTTTCCCCTTCATGAAATTGGATATCACTAAAACCCGTTCAATTAAATAATTGTCATAAAGTGTGGGCTCACCATCCAGGATCATGCTGTGCTTTCATCATACTTTTGCACTGGATGTAGATTATTTGTCTAAGTCATTGGTGGCCTTTAGGTGCATACTTTAGCACGTCAGCTCCTTTTCGTTTGATTACTTTTATTACTTTAATACACACTAGAATGCATGAGATGGTAGATGAACATCACGTAGTCTCTGCAATTTTCTTGGTGAGACACATGATTACTCAGCATCTTTCAATTGCAAAACTATAAATTTGAATCGTCAAAGAAGTTAGAGACAAAATTTAAACGAATATTGTGTCCTTTAAGCATTTAGTTGAGGTGCTTCAATGTGGTATCAGAAGAGTAGAGATCCATAGTGCACGTTTCGTCACATCCATTTTGTGAAAATTGTGCATGTGTTTTGGATAAACATTGAATGACTGTCTTGCTCGGGAGGTGATGTGTTGAATACTAAATTTCATGTTTGAGCCACATTTTTTCAAAAAAATATATTCTTAAACGGTGATTTGACGTCATTTCAACCACACATTCTTTAATAAAATAATATTACACATAAATCCAAAACTTTTCTTTATTTTTTAACCACACATTTTCCATTAATACACCATTCAAAAATGCATTCTTAGAAATATAATGTGGCTGAAACAAGGGCTAAATAAATAAATGTCCCTTCTCAAAAAATTAAGCCATGAACACAAGGTGGTTCGACATTTATATTTTGCTTAGTTTTTATTTACTTTTCCCCTTTTCTACAGCTAGCTACACACAAAAATGCGGTGGGAGTTGCTGTTGGAGCCACTATAGGACACACCATTTGTACATCATTAGCAGTCATCGGTGGAAGCATGCTGGCTTCAAAGATCTCGCAGCGCACTGTTGCGACTGTTGGGGGATTGCTTTTCCTTGGTTTCTCCCTGTCTTCGTACTTTTATCCTCCTCTATAACCACTGAAGTTTTGTAGATTAACCTGATTATTACCAGGAAATGTTAATACTGACACTGTTCGGTAGCAGATTTTTTGACTTATTATTATTATTATTCTAACCGAGAAATATGATACATGCTTGATTGGGAGTATAAAATCTTCATTGCCAATAGCTTGCAATGTACATTTTGGATTGAAAAACCAGTTTTGATGCACTCCTCTCAGCTCAAACAGAGAGATTTCTCTCATTCAACTTAATTTCAAATGAAAGGAGTGCAAATAGAACATCGATGTCATGCAGTTACGTGTCCACATGCATTCGCACATCAACTTGATCGTTTGAGGATGGAAACGAACGCAACTCTTATCTCGTGTTAATGCCTACTGCCTTGATGAAGTTGCAGAATTATCTTTGTAGTCTCTTTTTCAATGATAGGACTTGAAGAAGCTGCAGAATTAATTGAGCTAAAATTGCCAAGGGCATGGTGTGATATGTATGATGGACGAGAATGGAGTGAATTCTTAAGACGTGGCCTATTTATAATTGTTGAAAAGTTTGTGTGAAAATGCACCACAATTGAAAAGGACCCATAACCTAGTAGGACCTTTTAACCAGATACAAAACTTTGATTGAATATTTGGATCAAACCCAATAAAATACAGGTTAGCTCCCGTTTGAGCCCCATTATTTGTAGAATATAATTAGATGAATAGTATTTTTTTTGAAAAATGAGTGGTTGAAAAATTTTTGATTTATGTGTAATATTATTTTATTGAAAATTGTGTGGGTAAGAGTAAGAGAGAGAAAAATTTAATTTAATGTAATGTAATATAATGGGGCTTAAACAGGGGTTTCCATTTCCAGGAACTTGTCGTATCTCGTGGGGTCCAAACCAATTGTCAAACTTGAGCTTAAGTGGTCAAGTGACCTTTTATTTTCAAGTATGAGATGTAACACTATTCAACATTCATCAAATTTCAAGAGATTCCTGTTTGACAACCCTTTTTTGAATAGTGATTTTTAGGAAAATGCGTAGTTAAGTAGTGAAAACTTTTAGGTTTACGTATAAAATATTTTATTGTGTGAATATGTGATTGGAAATAAATATGCAGAAAAAAGAGTTTGAAAATAATGATTGTCAAACATAGGCTTAAATTTGAACTCTAGATACTCATTAATTCAACATTAATTTTGAGGACCCAAATATGTTCCAATCATCTCCTTTTCGAAGAGACAGCCAAGACTTCAGAGCAAACACAAACTATTAAGGGAAACTTACAAAAACACCCCTAAAATTAGGGATTTTTTGAAAAATTATATGAAAAGTATTTTGAAATTAAAAATATTGTGTAAAATTAATTGTCAGTTATATTATTAAAAAGTGACATCGTGTTGTACAATATTTTTTTCTAAAGTTAAGTGTCACTTCTTTATTAAAAGAATGACATCTTGTGTTTTGCCATTCAAAAAAGTGACAGACGCTTAAAAAAGTGATAAAAATTTCAAAAAAAAAAAGGTGAGATAAATTCGAAAAAGCGACAAACACTTAAAAAAGTGACAAAAAATTAAAAAGTAACAAAACACCAATTACAATAAGGGTCAGTTTGGTTGTAAGAATGAAATTTGGGTGGAAAGAAAACGAATTCTAAAAAATTGAATTGTCTAGAATTTGTTTTACTGAGAATTATCGATTAAATGTATTTGATTGGTATAATTTTTCCCTAAAAAATGTTGAAATTTTGGATTTTTGGTTGTTCATTTAGCTTTGTTTTTCATAAAAATTGTCAATTAAAAGAATATAATTTGTTACAATTATGGATAGCATTTGTTTCTATTGCCAAGAAAAAAAATTAAAAGAAAAAAAAAAGAACTTGGAAAAACAAATTCCTACCAAAACCATGGGAATTGGAATTCCATTGTTTCAAGGAAAAACAAGTAACATGAGGGAGGGAAGAGAAAAGCAATTGCCTAGAAAATATGTTCAATCAAATAAGGAAAAACTTGAAAAAGGGGAAAATTTTTAAGGACAACTTATAGAAATACCCCTAAAATTAGAGATCTTAAGGAAAATCATATGAAAATTATTTTGAATGTAAAAAGTATTGTGTAAAATTAATTATAGCTTTTTTATTAAAAAGTGACAAAATGTCACTTTTTTTTAATTAATAAAAAAGTGTCACAATATCACATTTTAAAGTTAAGTGTCGCTTTTTATTTAAAAAATGACATATAATATCACTTTTACTAAGAAATGATGTTTGTCACTCCAAAAAAGTCAGAAAAAAGTAACAAATACTAAAAAAGTGAAAGAAATTTTTTTTTAAAAAAAGGAAGAAGAAGAAGAAAAAAAGAGTGAAACACTTAAAAAAAGTGAGAAAATACAAAAAGTGACAAAACACAAATTAAAGCATTGGAATCGGTTTAACAAAGTAATAGGAAAAAAGACACAACCATCATTCATCCTCTTTCTCCGTTCATCGTTAAGCATTTTTAAGTCAATTCATCATCACCGTCATATATCGACCCCGTCAACCCATTAATCATATAAAAAAAATTGGAAATAAAAATACTGTATAAAATTAAGTATCACTTTTGAATTAAAAAAATTGACTTATGTCATATACTTTTTTATTAAAAAGTGATGTTTGTCACTCAAAAAAGAGATAAAAAAAATAAAAATGAAAGTGACAAACACTCAATCAAAACCTTAAAATATATTATTTTATGCAAATTCAACCATTTCTCCACCACCAAGGCCAACTCTGCAGACAAAAGATCACTCAAAATATTACGTCAAACACCAAACTTTGATTTCAACTAAGACTTCATAAAAGGATACAAGCATCAAAATATGATTTTACCCTTAACACATTGTTAACAAATATTTGACCCCAGTTACCTAAATCAAGATTGTTTCATAAATGATATACTTAAGCAAGGGAAAATAAGTGGAAAATGAATTAATTTGCAAAATTGTATTTATATTTGCCAAACTGGAAGGGTAACAAGGCAATTCATAGACGAACATATAGCATAAATCTGGGTAATCATTAAACGCCCAATAATCACCAATATAAAACATAATAACAAACATGGAATTGATAGTCAATTTGGAGATTTTGATTCCCATTCTCTCATACAAAAATCCTAATTCATAATTTCAATAGATTGACTCATGTTTGATGCCTTCAAAATTGAATCTTTCATTGAAATCGATAATCTTTCCCTCCATAGGCGTCATAAGACGAAAATCCCATTAATAATCCGATATGAAACCCTAATAAATTCATCGATTAGAGAATTCGTTTTCTTATAGTCTTAGAGATTGTTTGGATAGTGGACATAATAGTATTTCAGCTAGAGTATTGCTTATTTCGGTCTCAACACCTTTCAATAGCAATTTGCTTCCCTCGCCATTTGTACTCCTCAATTTTCCACCTCCATGTGCCTAAGGTTGTAGATTTTGGAAATTTTGACCATATTGTTTACGGGTTAATAACTTCAATTAGTATTTAAACTATTTTTCTAGGGCAAGGGAATTAATAGGTCTTGCCCAAATAATTTGTCAAAGTTAGTTAAAGTCAACTTATAAACTATTTAAAATCAAAATTTCAATTATATCTTGTATACACAGTTGTGATTTGTCGCCCCACTTCCATAATATTTGTACCACACTCTTTATCTATCTCACTATTTCTTCTACTTCCGACTAGGATGACAATTCGGAAACAAGGTGAGGACGGAGAAAAGATGAGAGAAAATGAGTATATATTTAGGTGTTCAATAAAAATAAAGTCGGCAGTTAGTTTTTCGCCTAAAATTTGACCTCTTTGTGTCCAAAAACGATACAAATCAGCAACTATTTCCAAGTACTACAAAATTAGAATATTAGGACTTAGATGTCAAAAAAGTTAATTCAGAACTCAAATGTTAATATCGTAAAAATTAAGAAGCCACGTTCCAAACACTGAACTTTTAAGTTAGAAAATAAATCATTTGAGAGCGAGCTGCAGATCCCCGATTATAGCAGTGAAAATTTGCGCATACAGAAACTAAAGAAACAAAATCTGTTCCTTCGAGCTCTCAATCGACTCCAATTCTCGGGTAATTTGCATTTTTTTTCTTATTTACTTGTTCGATTTATTACAGCGCCCTAGGTTTCATTTCAGATCTGATATTCCAAAAACTAATCCATTGTATGTAATCCATAAGTTACATCTAACATATTCACTTTGAATGATTGGATTGAATGTTGCTATTTTCTGAATTTATCGTCTCGATCGTTCCGCACTTTTGATTTATTTTGGTGGATTTTTGTGTTTGTTTATATGTTGATGTAGATATCAAGATTTATGGATCTGTACAATGAGAACGATATTTTTTTTTTTTGTTCAGAATCTATATGTATGTTATGGTGTTAGGTAGGTCTGATTTTTAGCTTGATATGGACTTATTCAATTTTTTTTATCGATGTAATTGAACTTTTCTTTTGAATTTAGAGTACAGATTTGTATTGCAGAATAATATTAGTTTTTGCTGGAATGAGAATTAGGAATGTTTCATGATATTACTGAATCCTTTTCTGTTCTATGAACTGAATTTTTTTTACTATATTTCTCTAATGTTTTAGATGTACCTAAAAATTCCATATTGTTTCTTCACTTTGCTAGATTATTTATCATACAGACTTTACTTAAGTAATCATTTGAGGAATTACCATATTGGAAAATGATATTTTAGTTCACATCATAACTTTAGCTCTTTTTATGTAATGTATGATGTGGATTTGGATTAACTGATGAACTAGGTGGAACGTCGCCATACTTTCAGTCAATTTTCGCTGTTATAGTGATTTTTTAATTATAATATTTTTTGGTCTGTATTGGTTAAATATTTGTATTCTCCAGTGACTAGGTAACAAGTGAAAAATGGAGAAATCGTGCTCTTTGCTGGTACATTTTGACAACGGCACTCCAGCCCTTGCTAATGAGATTAAGGAGGCACTAGAAGGAAATGATGTTCCTGCTAAGATTGATGCCATGAAAAATGCAATCATGCTTCTGCTGAATGGTGAAACCCTGCCTCAGCTCTTCATTACTATAGTTAGATATGTATTACCCTCTGAAGACCACACTGTTCAGAAATTGCTGTTGTTATATTTGGAGATCATCGACAAGACTGATGGCAAAGGTCGTGTGTTGCCCGAAATGATCTTGATCTGCCAGAATCTAAGGAATAATCTTCAGCACCCGAATGAATACATCCGAGGTGTCACACTGAGGTTCCTTTGTCGGCTGAATGAGGTGGAGATCATTGAGCCTTTGATACCCTCCATTATGTCTAACCTGGAGCATCGACACCCTTATGTTAGGAAAAATGCAATTCTTGCTGTGATGTCGATTTACAAGCTCCCACAAGGTGAGCAGCTCTTGGTTGATGCACCAGAGACCATTGAGAGGTTTCTTTCAACGGAGCAGGATCCATCAGCTAAGAGGAATGCATTTCTGATGCTTTTCAATTGTGCTCAGGATCGTGCTATCAATTACCTTTTGACCAATGTTGACAGAGTACCTGACTGGGGAGAATTAATGCAGATGGTTGTCTTGGAGTTAATCCGGAAAGTTTGTAGGACGAACAAAGGAGAAAAAGGTAAATATATCAAGATAATTATATCCCTTCTGAATGCCCCTTCAGCTGCTGTTGTCTATGAATGTGCTGGAACCCTCGTTTCTTTGTCTTCTGCTCCTACGGCTATTAGAGCTGCGGCTAGTACATATTGTCAGCTTCTTCTCTCTCAGAGTGACAATAATGTTAAGTTAATTTTGCTTGATCGTCTGAATGAACTTAAGTCTTCCCACAAAGATATTTTGGTCGACATGATCATGGATATACTGAGGGCACTATCAAGCCCAAACCTTGATATCCAAAGGAAAACTCTTGATATTGTTCTAGAACTGATCACCCCTCGAAATGTCAATGAGGTAGTTCTTAATTTGAAGAAGGAAGTTATGAAAACTCAAAGCGGGGAGCTTGAGAAGAATGGGGAGTATCGCCAAATGCTTATTCAAGCCATCCATTCTTGTGCGATAAAATTCCCTGAAGTTGCAAGCATAGTGGTCCATTTATTGATGGATTTCTTGGGAGACAACAATGTGGCTTCTGCTATGGATGTTGTCATTTTTGTGCGTGAGATAATTGAAACCAACCCAAAATTAAGAGTTTCCATTGTAACCAGACTTTTGGATACATTTTATCAGATCCGAGCTGCAAGAGTTTGTGCCTGTTCACTTTGGATCATTGGAGAGTATTGTCTCTCACTTTCTGAAGTTGAGAATGGCATTTCAACTATAAAGCAGTGCCTTGGAGACCTACCTTTTTTTTCGATTTCTGAAGAAGAGGAAGCTGCTGATTCTACAAAGAAGCCCCAGGTGACAAACTCCACTACCATTTCATCTAAAAGACCAGCCATCCTTGCTGATGGGACTTATGCTACTCAAAGTGCTGCCTCTGAAACTGCTTTCTCCCCTCCAACTGTAGTTCAAGGATCTTTGGCTACTGGAAATTTGCGATCCCTTCTTCTCACTGGCGATTTTTTTCTTGGGGCTGTTGTTGCCTCTACACTAACGAAGCTCGTATTAAGATTAGAAGAGGTTCAGCCTTCAAAGGTTGAAGTGAACAAAGCATCAACCAGTGCATTATTGATCATGGTCTCGATTCTACAGCTAGGGCAATCTTCAGTTCTCCCTCACCCCATTGACAATGATTCTTATGACAGGATTGTTCTTTGCATAAGATTGCTGTGCAACACAGAAGATGCTGTGAAGACGATCTGGTTGAAGTCTTGCCATGAGAAGTTTGTTCAAATGCTTTTAGACAAACAGTTACGTGAAACTGAGGAAATAAAAGCAAAGGCTCAGATATCTCATTTGCAGCCTGATGACCTAATTGACTTCTACCATTTGAAGAGCAGGAAGGTAAGAATATTGTATTTTCCATCTGTTACATTCTTGCTGAATGTTAAAGGTTCCGTACCTGATATTTTTAGATTGTAATCAGAATGTTGCTCATTTTCTCAACCAAATTATGCTATTGCATGCCATATCGACCTGAGTTGTCTCTCTCTGGGTGTGTTTGTCTGTCCTGTTGGAGTGTGCTCTGTAGCAATGTATTCAGGTCAATCAGCTCACATCATATTGATTGAATCATGGAAAATTGGACCAATATTATCCATTGTCTAATTATTTATTCACGTGAAACTTTTGGGAGGGACAGGTTTAAAATTCACAAGAAATGTTTTGGGATAGAGACATGGAGCTAAAAAAATTTCCATGTTGAAGTTTGGTCATGCTGATGGTTGTACATGGCAACTATTAAATATCTTGTTAGATTGGTAAAATAGTTGTCAAAAAATTGTATTTTTTAGTTTAATTAGCTTGTACTATAATTTTTATTTGTCATATGTACTTTTTTGGATTTTTGGATCAAGTTGTCATATGTGTTGTAGCATCTTACACATTAGGGCCAGCTAATTTTACCTGCTTTAGAGGTTTGGTCTGATCAATTTATGAGTACTTGTGAATTGTGATGCTAATTTACCTTTTCATCACCATGAGAGATTGCAATTAACTTCTATTTCTGTGCCAAATAGTATCTTTAATCAATCTATTGTGCAAGTGTTTAGAATCCAGCAATTTCTCTTGAGAGATCATGGTTCTTGTCTCTCTTTGATTGGTTGTATCATGCATCTAGTATACTCAAATGTATAAATAGTTTATTCATTTCCCACACTGTTATCTTTGCTTCAGGGCATGAGCCAGCTGGAGTTGGAAGATGAGGTTCAGGATGATTTGAAACGTGCTACTGGGGAGTTTGTTAAGGATGCAGATGATGCTAATAAGCTAAACCGTATTGTTCAACTGACAGGGTTTAGTGACCCAGTGTATGCTGAAGCTTATGTGACAGTTCATCAGTACGATATTGTTTTGGATGTTACGGTTATTAATAGAACAAAGCAGACCCTTCAGAATTTGTGCTTGGAGCTTGCTACAATGGGTGATCTTAAACTTGTTGAGCGACCACAGAATTATACTTTGGCGCCTGAATCAAGCAAGCAAATAAAAGCAAATATTAAGGTGTCCTCTACTGAGACAGGAGTCATATTTGGTAACATTGTTTACGAGACCTCAAATGTACTTGAGCGGACTGTCGTGGTCCTTAATGATATTCATATTGATATTATGGACTACATCTCTCCTGCTGTGTGTGGTGATGCTGCTTTTAAAACCATGTGGGCAGAATTTGAGTGGGAAAACAAGGTACGAAGTCACTTAAGTCCTGTCGTTATTCATATTTTTGTTTGTTTAGGATACCATGTATATTCCCTCTCATTTTTGCAATTTTTGGTAAGAAAATACTGTGTGGTGATGACTACATAGAAGTCAAAAAGGAGAGCCACAATTTGATTTTCTGATAAATTCCCACCTAGTGCTTTCTCTTATCATTCACTTCTTATCACTGTTAAACTCTTCATTGTCCATATATTTTTTGAAAGTTATCTGATGTCCCTTTTTTTGTTTTAATTGAATTTCATCTCATTTCTGTGAACCCAAACTTTTGCTGATCAGCATCAGCTGGTTTTCCTTTTCTCTATTTGGAGAAGAAATCTCCTTAAGATATTATATTCTTCTTTGCTCTGCTTATTGAAAACTTAACCATAACAGAAGAGATGTTTTAGATGTGAATAACATTGAACAAAGGTGCTCCAAATTCGAGAGTTATTACTTTATCATTTGATGTGTAGGACATCGAATGGAGCTATCGTATGAAAATATTTTTCTACCTTGATCAAAAAGTTTGACTTGAAAAGTTGATGTACTTTTGGTGGTTTAATCAATAATACATTCTTTTAAAGTTTGTTCGAGGTAAATAGGGTCCTGCTTTCATGACTGTTGTCTTGCTTTTTTAATATACATTTATTATCCATTTGTTTCTGAGAAGACTGATGAGTGTCGGCAGCATTTATGTTTGACTTCTGTTGTTCTAATGTTCATATCTGTTCCACCAACCCATAAGCTTTTCTTCGTTAAAAGTAGTTTGTTTCTTGTTTTCAAAATCTTTTATCTGCTTCTTGTTAATTGCTTTTCCTTTTTCCTGTGTCTTTTGGCAGGTTGCTATCAACACTATAATAACAGATGAGAAAGAATTTCTTGACCATATAATCAAATCAACCAACATGAAATGCCTGACTTCACCGTAAGTCATGTTCACATTCCTGCTTGACTGTATCAAATTTTTGTAACCAAGGACATGGAGATTGAGGCCACATGCACAAACCATAAAGAAACACTTTTTCTCCCCTAAAAGGACATATAATTAAAAGATAACTGTATATCAAGGTAGTTTCTATTTTTCAATATTAAAAACTGTGGTTTTCTGTTGGTTTTCTCCCTGTCATGGTTCCATTGGTAATTTTGTAAATCCTTGTTTTTGTTAGCTATATGAAGGGCTCATCTCCAAGAACCATAATTCAATGTAGATAATATTTTCAAGTTTGCTTTTATATTCGTAGTTTAACAAGTTCTTTAAATTTAGTACTCTCTGAATATTCAGTCTGTAGTTGTCACTCATCTGGCAGAATGCGTTAAAGGTAGTACAAAATGCAACGTGTCCCAAGGCCAGTAAAATGATCCAGTTTCTTAGTGCCTAGATCACGCAACAAATGGAAATTTTAAATCTGCAAGTTAAAACTGGGGTTTTGAGTGAACTTGAAAATTCTTGTGATAAATATCCGGAGTATCACGACACTAAATGAAGATGTGCAGTCCCTTTCTGGAAGGAGTGTCAAATGTCATATTGCAAACATTTTGCAGATGATCTTCTGGCTGCATATCTGCGCTTGATATCTGAGCTACCCTATGCGAACTTTGTTTTCAAGGCACTAACAATTTGGTAGACAGCAATTTGGATGTTAAAAAGGTGAAAAGTTTTATCACAGTTGTGAACCTTGAAGAACATAATAGGCCTTTCACCTAAGACACAAAGCCAGCCTCATATATTTATGAATTAAATAAAAATTCATTGGCTTCTCACCATGATATATTAAGTTAATTGAGTGATCCTAAAAAATTTGGAGAAATCAGTTACCTTTATTTATAAAGTTCATCTCCACAAATCGATTGAAGCTTGTCCAGATTAACCTCTTACCTTCAGGCTTTAGTTGCTTGCCCTTTTTAAGATATCTGTCAAGATTAACTCCGAGAAATAGTGTCCTCTGGACTCTTAAATTGTGATGCGACTGGTGAGACTTTATTTTTTTGTTTTATATCCTGGTCAAGCAATGCTTGTATTATACCTTTTGTTTGCTTCTACTTGGCTGTGGTTTGGTAAGGTTTGTAATTTTGCCTCTCATCCTTGTTATTTGATTGTGTTCAGGTCGGCCCTGGAAGGTGACTGCGGCTTCTTGGCTGTTAACTTGTATGCAAAGAGTGTATTTGGGGAAGATGCTTTGGTAAATGTGAGCATTGAGAAACAAGAAGATGGGAAACTGAATGGATATATTAGGATAAGGAGTAAGACCCAAGGAATTGCCCTCAGCTTGGGTGACAAGATAACTCTCAAGCAGAAGGGAGGAAGCTGATCTCTTTAGCAGGTAAATGCTTTATCAAATTTTCTCATATTTTGACATTGATTTGAAAACAGGACCAGCTGAACCTGTTCAACTGAACAGACTGACTCTGAAACTGCCCTGGTTTTAGCCTAAATCCAGATGTTAAACAACTGAGATGAAATCGGATGAACTGGGTGGTTCAATTGGAACCAGCCTTGGGTTGGGGTGACTTGGTTTCAAGTTTGATCTCCTTTGAACCCCAGATTAAACTTTAAATCCAACCCATCATATTTTCCGGGCTCATTGGCTTTAGAATTGAAATTTGGAGAGACAGTTCTTCTTCCTCTGTTCAAAGCAGGATCTCCCCCTTCTATTCAAGATACTCTTGAAATCCTCTTCTTTCTTTTCTTGCTGTCCTGTATGAAACAATTCCAGGGGGTTGTCAAGCTTTATGATAGATCTTTTCTCGTACAAAGTTCACCTCACCGTTGTTTTGTAGGGTTAAACTCAAAACATGCTTGGAAGAATAGTCGGAGTTCTCTGCGATCAGCTGTTGCTTTGGAATTTGCATCTTAAGGTAGAGGAGATCATAAAAGAAAATGTTCTGTTTTTAGGTGTATTTTCTAAAAATTATTTGTAATGATTTTTTACTGCAAAATGACTGTAATTTTGAATAGAGTAATTAATTTTGATTAAAATCTGTGCACGGTGGATTTAAACTATAGATTTGCTTTGACGTATCCCATAGCTGGGTTTTGTTGAGCAATAAATTCGCTGTATCGTATCTCATGCATGGTTACAGATAAATGAACTTTAAATGAAGATGGCAGATATCAAAGGATTATTGTAAAGAATGAGCGGACGTGCATTCGAAAGTGATCCCGAATTTTTGAAACTCATTTTTCTTTAAATTTATTTTCAATCACAATTTTATTGGATCTGGAAATTTTATTAATTTTTTATTCACACATTTAATGAGATTTTAAGAAAGTTTATTGAAAAATCAATTTTAATTTAAACCAAACAGTTTAATCTTATTTTACATTTAAAAAATGTATTTGATGGACATACATTCGGAAGGCTAGAAGAAGAGAATCGGACCGTTCCTCCTCACAAATTTGACATATTTATTGGACAAATTATTGTAACTTTTAATTTAAGTCAATTCAATATTCAATATAAAGCCTATTAAGATCATGAGAGCGTTTATAATCACTTGAGATCTATAAGATATTGACGTTGGATTGACTTAGGAGGCATATTAAATTGAGACTTTTAATGACTTTTTGGAATTTAAAAAGTTTAGAAGTATTCAATTGAGATTTTTTAAGACTCTCTAAAAGTATTGTTATATTTAACTGGAGCTTTTATAGACTTTTAAGAAGTTTTTAAGAGTTACGGTGTATTCAATTGAGGCTTTTATGTACTGTTAAAAAGTCTTTAAAAGTTACGATATATTCAATTAATTTTTTTTAGAAATATCTATAAGTTTTGAGGTATTTAAATTTTAATGATTTCTAAAGACTTTTATAAAAGTCTTTGAAATACTAACTTTTAAACATAAAATATTCATATAAAATCTTAAAATTTGTCTAACATTAATCCCGAGATTTTGGGAGACTTTCACAAAAAAAAGTATTTTGTTTTCAATCTTTCTTTCTTTTTTCCTTCTGCGAACAGATTTGATTAAAAAAAATTTATTGATTATATTTATTTTCATTTATCTTTCTCTCTCTTATTGTTTATCTATATTTCTATAAAAATAAATAAATAAATAAACTATTTTATATGAAAATAAATAAATTTATTTATGATTTAAAAAATTTATTTATCTTTCTCTCTCTCTTATTGTTTATCTTGTAACTTTTTTTATTATTCTTTTTTTTTTGTGAAAAATATCTATTTTTTATTAAGTTATAAAATTTTATATGTAAAATTTATAATTAAATTTAAATACATTGATTTTTATTTATTTTTAAAAGTATATTATATTAATAATATTGAATATTAAATTTATTGTTTATTATATACATGTATAATTTTGGTTATTATTTATTTAATTAAGGTCCTAAATTTTTATTCTTTTATTTTTTTTTATTATATGGGAAGAAGAAGAGAAGAAAAAGGGGAATTGTAAGAACCAACACCTCGTATGTGAAAATTTTACACCATCATATTAGATCCAAGTGAATTCTATTTCAAATTAAAATTTTCAAAAGTATTTTGAATTCTATAAAAGTCTATAAATTTTTAAAATGAAAGTGCATAGAAGTCTACAAAAGATTTCCACAAATTCCATACAAATTTATAAAAAAATATCCGTGAAATCCACATAAATCATCACTTAAAAAAAAGTCCATCAAAATTTTCAAATAAGTCTGTCAAATTTATGAGTAAGAAGAACGCTTGTACAAGAGAATTCCTCTCTACTCATAGAGCTTTGTACCAATTCCATCGTGATATATTAATAAAAGAAAGTGAGTGTAAGAAAGATTTGTTGTTATCAGTGTTCTAAAAGACGCGATACGCAAGGTGGTTAACGACAATCGTTGACCACTAATGCCTGCCTAGGTGTGATATACACGCATTATTATTTTCTTCTTCTTCTTTTTCTTCTTTTTTAAAAAAAATTCTTTTAAATTAAAACTTAAAATCTGATTTCTTCACTTCATCTACTCAGGATTCAAACAATCCTTGAAACATTGAACAAAGGAAACTCTCGATAATTTCTATTTATTTACTGTTTAGTATTTACATTTGAAATTTATCTTTTGTAGGAAACTTAGAAAAAAATGTATAAAGCTTCTATAAATCTGTTTTAGATGTTTGGTAGGTATTATTTTTAATTATTAAATAATTTTTTGATTGATTAAAAATTAAAAAAATATAAAAATAAGAAAACACATTTTTACGATATTTTATGTGCATGCCTCGCCTAATTCATAACTTGACCTCCATACATCGTCATGCATTGGGCCTTTTAAAATACTAGTTGTTATATAGTTGTTTTGCAATTACGCTCATGAAGTTTTAACAATGGACAATAAAAGTATGTTTTCTTTGTTGTAATTTCATACGCGAAATTTTATTCGGTAAAATTCGAAATTATTTATTATTTGTGTAATTGCTACAAATAACCAAAGAACTTACATCATAATATTACTATTTTAACCTCTATCGGTTGACGACGTCGTTTTCCATTCAGCTTTACACATCCGCTAGTTCTTGAATTTGCTTTCTTCCTTGTACAAGAAATAAAACATAGTACTATATTATCCGTTATTGAAACACTTCTTTAATTTATCTATAATAGAAAGCACCAAGGACGGACATGGTCGCATGAGATTTTGCTACGCTTTGACCAAGGCAATGTGGTCAACGCTTGCCCTTTCTATTGGAGGCATTAGGAGCGTAGCTCAAAACCAAAGCGACGCAAACGTCAACAGCCTTCTAGCATCATCACTTCGAAGCATCAAAGAGTGGCCTTATCTATAAAATGGACCTCTTGAAATCGATGGGTCCAACTCTTGATGCCTTCGTCAATAGTAATCTCGACGCCCTTTAGTTGTGTGTGAAAATAATTGTTACGATATAATTTGTCCGAAATAGGGCATGAAAGGTCATGCTATGCTGGCTAGTATGTGACATAATTGAGTTTGACATGTGAACTGTTGGATGAACCCATGGATTAAGCATCCTTAAGATCTCATCCACTCCTCTTTGGCCTCCAAGTGAGAGTAACTTAATCTAGAGTGATATAATCTATACCCGACTTTCATATTCCCATACTTCCATGTTTCTCCCACACTCAAATTGTTAGTATTTTAACATGCGCACCAGAGTGCATATGATTGTTGTACCTCCCGCTTTGGCACGATGGTTTGCTCCTGTAACTTGTATATCCAAGTGTGCAAATAACATATTTAGACGACGGAGTTGAAATTTATTAATGCTTAGTCCCACCGATTCAGAGGACAATATGGGCAATACAAGTATATAACAAACAAAATTTTGATTCTTTTTAATTCCTTAATAAGGTCTACTCAAGCATACCTCACCACATGTGCAATATGTGTAGTGGCCTGTGCATTGTCAAGAAAATAGCATTTTCTTGCTTTTTCCAGCTTTTCCCACATAGTGCAGCACTTCTTAATTTGTCAAATCCAAAAGGCCAATTTAGCATAAGACTTTAAACTTTCTTAAATTCATTGCAAACTCGAAGAAATCATGGTGGGCAAAGACGGACAACCAATAGTTGACTGAATACAAGAATATGGGGACCAAGGTCCCATTAATCATGTCAAGATTTGTGAAAAAACTTCTCAAGAAAACAACAGTAGCAGCCAAAAAAATAAAAGGATCCACAGATCAAAAAGCACTTGCCATTCATTGGTCCTAGAAAAATCAACAATCATCTTCAAGTTGCAAGAAAGCAAAGCTGCACTACCAACAATATTAGAGTGGGAAAAGCATTAATCAATGACAAGTTGCACTGAAAGAAGCTTGCATTAACACAAATATTATCCAACATAAAAGGGATAGAAATTACACAATTTCAAGGACTAAAAAATGTAGAAAAGAACGAAAAGATGGAGAGTTGGATTGCACAAAATTCCTATTCTACCCACACAAGATAAAAAAGGAAGATCCCAGACACTCTAATATAGCCGGGCCCACCTCTCCGGTCCGGAATAAATATCATTTTTTCCTAAATGTTTTAACTGTTCCTTCCTGTAGACAATGAAGAAAAACACCTGATAAACGGGGAAAATTAAAAATGAATGTGAAAAATAAAAATCAAATGAGGATTTCTAGCCTGTCTCTCCTGCAGCCTTTTTCTCGTCTTTGTTTGGGACAAACCTTGGCAAGTTCAGTAAAGTGTTTACACGGGAGACTCCTTCGAGCGTAGACCACCCTTTTCCAACCTCCATGTTTTTTCCTTTATTATTTGAGGCTACCTCATCATTTGCATCTGAAGTTTCTACATTGTCCACTCCACGGGCCTCTTCGTTTGTTCTAACTGTGCCAGAGCGGTCCAATCCAGTTGGACTAAAGGAATCATCTTTCTGGTCGGTATCCTCATGCCCTTCTGTAGAGATATTCTCTCTGCGTTCGGTGGTAGGAGCAGTAGAATTGTTTGGATTTGAATCAAGAAAGAGGCAAACAACAGCACAGTCGTCAACCTTAGAAGTTGGATATTTGGACCTCCAAGCCCGAACTGCTGACTCTACTAGCATTCGAGCTGCATACGAACGAGTGGAGCAAGACCCAACAATGTCTACGACTTCTTCATTTGAGAGCACATCCCAAATCTGCAATGTACATTAAAACTTTGCCCAACTTAAAGAAAATTTTACGAAATGAAAAATAGTAGTAGAAAATAAATGTCATGGTCGATACCCCGTCTGTTGCCAATACTATAAACTCATCCTTATCAGTGATGCGTCTATAGGAAATTTCAGGTACAGAGATAAGACCAAACTCCTTTAGACAAAAATCTCCAAATGCACGTGCCATAGCGAGGCCAGGAGAGTCACTGTTTGGCAGCCACACTCTTGCAACCTCAGGTTCATCCTGAAGGGCAAATACACGTCCCTTACATTTGAGGATTCTCTCTGCTTCAGCTATCAGGTAAATAAAAATGGATATAATAAACGGGAGATATTTGTATCTAAAACTAAATCAATCAGTTAATAGTTTGAATTTATTTATTCGGGAAATGAAATTCTGGAAATAGGAGCATTTCTACCTTGTTGTTTCAGCCATTAAAGTTTCCAAGTCTCAAGCCCAAGACCAAAAAATAATAGTACTCAAGACACAAGCACAACACCGTTTGACAAAATTATAAATGGTTCATAAGAGGAATAGTAGTGGGTCCTGAGAAATGTGTGGATAATAATGAGAAGCAAGTATCAATGTGTAGTTGAAATTAATGTTTGACACTGAATTTATATACCATTTATAAAGTTCTTTCCGAAGGGAAGCTAAATAACTACTGGAGCATCATGGCAAGACTTGCTGCCAACCGACTCAACATACATCACAAACCCATACATAGAAGTGCAGTGTTATTTCCACGCAGTTCCTGCTGATATGTATCCAGCTTGTGTTTCAATGACAGGTAACCTCTTTCTAAGAGAGGGGAGTGTAAACAGATAACATCCTCAGGTAAAGCGTCATAACCTGGTCCATCTACCAAGTAGTACAAATTGGAGTCTAATTCAGTGGCCCTAGATGGTTAAATGCAGCTTACCAACTACCAATTAGTGGCGAGCCCTAGTTCACACGAACCCTTTTAGAGTTCCGACTCAACCAATGTTAGGTTTTACAATTCACGGGTGTTCATCAATTTTGAAAGGTACCATGCTTCTGTCGCCATTATTCCACTATAAATTATGACATCTAGGCTTGAGAAATTCCATAAAATGTAGACCGGTCGAGTTCTCATAGAGTGCCCTCCTTTATTAATTAGACCTCACTATCCCAACTATCAACTACTAGAGACCTGGTTTTAATATTTTCAAACACATCAAGACCTGTTTCTATCTTGTCTGGTTGAAAACATTTATCAGACCATTATGCAACCATTGCCAAATATCAGCATCTGAGTAACGTTTACACCAGAACCCAACTACTTATATATCAATATCTTAGCAGACAAGTATGTGCTTGAACTGTAAATCACCACTAAGGTATTGGCTAAACAACAGAAAAAGGAGCAAAATGGTGGCTAAACAACAGAAAAAGGAGCAAAATGGAAAAACGGTCAATACTATCAGGTTGGTCTTCGAAACTCGGTATAAGTGCAATACGTGGAAAATTTGCAGATAAAGATTGAGATTAGCCAAAAAGAAAAGAAAAACAATCAAAAGCACAAAAGTGGATTTACTCACGTCTTCACAACTGTGCAAAAGTTTAGCACATAAAAGATTAGGAGATCGGTAATAGAGGTTGTACTTAAATGCACACCTATTCAACCATACAAATACATGGTTTTTCTGTTTAGCTATTAATGATTTACAGATCAGGAAAATTTAAACTCGATAGGTTAAAGAAAACAGCCAAAAAATTCATGTCTAATCAAAAGATTTGATATAGTACACAATTAACAGTCACTAATATTATGGAAAATTTTACTTGTACATAATTATTGCACATAATGACGTTCTTAATGTGATGTGACAATCATGTGGTTGTTGATGTGCAAGTGTGAGATTTGAATTAAAAGTTGGATCCAGTGCCACGTGTAATAATGGATACCATTATGTAGACAATTATGTATATGTAGCACTTCCTCTTATATTATGGCCCCGTTTGATTCCCATTTTTTTCAAAATACATTTTTCTCTCTCTTCATTTCAATTACACATTTTTCATTAAAATAATATTTCACGTAAATTAAAAAATTTTCATCCACACATTCTCCATCAATCTACTATCCTAAAATTCATTTTTCTATAAAAATGGCTATCAAACACTCTATATCTAAGAGAAAACTGAAAAGAGACAAGAAGAGAGAAGAAAGGGGAGAAAGAGAGAGCATTCCGCGATGGAATGGAACCTAGAGAAAGAATGGTACTGCTTACAGTATTCGAAGTTGCCATTGAAACAAAACCCAAATTCTCTCTTCACTTTCTCCCTCGTCTTTCCTCTCCTTTATATCTCTTCTATTCTCTTCTTCCTGCTTCCTTCCCTCTCTTCTTCTCTATATTCTTGTGTTCTCTATATTGTGCAGCTTTAATGGTACTAACCAGAAACTCTATGAATTGAATATAATTTCTGCTTCTGAACATGTAAAAACTGATTCTTATTTCAAGTGTATTTTGCTTATTCTTGTGCCTTTCTTGGAGAGAAAGAGAGAGTACCTGGAAGGTTTGGTTTTAGATCCACAGTCAACTGGACAGCAATGAGCGAATTGTTTTCATCTCTTGTACCCAATACAGCTCTAGAGTCCCCAACATTTCCAATTACAAGATCCTGACCCTGCAGATCACAATCAAGGCCTTCTTGAGTACATAAATAACACAACCACTAACTCACATTGGTATCACTTCTGAATTTATCAGTATACCTGTTTCACTAGAGTCACTGCTGTTGTCCCACTACAGAAGCATTCGACATTTGAATACATTCTCAGTTCCCGATCCATAACCTTAAAAGCCTTTAGGAAGGACTCCTTCAGTGTCTGGAAATCCTCTGGATGCTTTGCAGCGTCTTCAAGATAAACGGAAGCTATAGACAACTCATCAAGGGTTAAGAAAGAGGTATCTTCAGAGCACCTACTTCCCGTACTATTCAAACTACCCGCCCTAAGAACCTCATCACTCTTTATATCAACTTCCCAATGTGCACTCAGTTTTGAAGGAAGAGAATCTCTGACTCGCTTTGCAACCAAATGACCATAGGGACCATGGCCGTCAAAAACACCACAGAAGACCGTGTCTGTTCTCAAACCAAAATTCTAGAAATCCAATTTCACAAAAAAATCAGTGAAAGGCAATCTAGCAAGCAACTTGAGACCAACAAAAACACTAAAATGCTTGATACGGCAAAGACACGATAGTTTATCTTAAAAAATTTCATCAAGCATCTTCAACATGTGAAAATTCAATATATCCACACAAATTATGAACATTCATGTTAAATAAACACAAATATCACTTTCTCAGGCCCCATAGGATTTAATCAATTGACAGAAGATACCAATGATAATCTGACCAGACTTCTTATTGAGTTGTTTATTTTATCCATAATTTCTATCCTTTCATGATACAATCATCCCAAGTTTAGCTAAACACAAAATATGATGTAGTAACTGAAATCCTCAAACCAACTCTATCATCAAACACGTAAAATGTAAAAAAATTATATTAAAAGACAAGAATGAGATCTCGCTTCAGAGAATCTTAAGAGACGGGCAGGTCAGCAAAAACTTTTGTTGCTCAAGTGTAGGCCCAAAGTGCCAAAATGGATCAACTACTATTATTTAGTAATAGCCCATATTAAGCAAGAAAGTATATGATTTTTTTGTTTAACTCATAACAAAGAGAGACCACAAATTAGAAATTACAATATCGCTTGTCATAGACTATATACCATTATCCCATTGGATTATGATTAATATTGAAACCATATTAATAATAACATTCAAATTGATCACATTAAGGTGAAGAAAGAAGCAGCTAACCTCCCAAACAAGCATGGCATCTTGATTGGTTCCTTTCTTGCCTTGCTGGGTAAAGAGTGAAGCAACCTCGCTGGAACCGTTTAAGAACATGCGGCCTGGAGTCTTACGTAGTTGTTCATCCCTCCTAAAATCAAAGGATGGATTTCGAGACCCCAGCCTATTTCTTGAGCCCTTCCTCTTCCTTACCTCCACCGGAGAACTAGGAAGAGGATTCCTGGTCTCACTGGATAAGCAGCATCCCATTATCAGGGACCTGATTATTTCCAGTAAATACTCCAGTCCAGCCAAACAGCCAACCCCCCTATTTTCCGTATTCGGATCCGTCACAAATTTAGTGAAAAATCCTTCCAAACTATATATATTCACCCCCGAGTCCACTCAATCAAGAAACTTTCCCCTTATTCCACAATTGAACAATGGCAAAAATAACATTAAATTGTCTCAAGTAATGAATATTCAGGCACCCTTTGAATTATACCATCCAAGTATCCACTTCATTTACAAAAATTCACCCCATTTTATTGACGAATTTCATCCTTTCAGACAGAATAGAAACAAGAACAAGCTTCTGAACCTAAAAAAGAATTTAACTTTCAATTAATCTTATCCTTAAAGTGCCCTAAACAAATAAAAGATAAATAATAAAAATATAACTATAATAAACAACAGTTTCTCTTATCCTTTCCTCCTTTTTTCTGCTCTAAATACTAAATATGTTACGCAAAAAAGCTAACAATAATAACACTATAGAATTAGAAAGAACAGATCTACAGAAAAAAAGTATCACCTTTCCGATTCAGGACAACAAAAACTTTCTTTCTTTTGCTTGCTTACGAAAAAAAAAACCCAGAATCAAGAAGATCAATCAGAGCTAAAGACTAATCAAGAACTCAAAAACCCAACAGGCATTACTGCCTAAAAACCCAGAATCACCAATTATTACAAGAAATTAACATAAAAAGGATTGAAACTTGGGACCCAGCGGATGTAAACCGAAACAGCTATTAATGATTCCTCGATAATATTCTCATTAATCAACGGTAGAAATCAACCCAAGTCCTGCACTGAATTTTAATTTTGTATTCAACAGAAACAGATAAAAATCGAATGAAACAAAAAGAGGGCTGCTTTGAAATGGACAATGAATGATAGATGCAATAATAATTCGGAAAGGGAGAGAAGAAAGAGAGAATTCAGGTCGGAAACGAGCTGCCGGTAAGACTTTTTATTACAGTGAAAACTGAAAAGTACAGAGAGAGAGATACACTTATATAGAGACAGTGGGTGGGCCGGGTCATCAGTGTGTGTGACAAACCTTCTCCAGCGTCCGTCGAAAATTTCAACGTATGTATCTTCTACGGAATGTTTTTGTACGTATATGTGTATATATATCTGCATTATCTGTATATATTGTCATAATAATCTTGATAAAACCAATATTTTAAAACTCTTTCAATTCTCATAAACATTTTCAACCCCATATATATTTAATAAAATATTTTGTACGAAAGTTAAAACTTATTACTGTTCAAAACTTCATTTTTTTCAACGATCATACGGATACGCATAATTTCTAATGCGATGCTGATAATAGAAAAAAGAGTGCAATTATTGTGATTACAGATTTTTAAACATGTCCGTTTCCATCATCACCACATCAATTCATAACTCCAATCAATGACCCTTTTTCTTAAATAAATACTTATTTCCATATTTCACGTGGATTAAATATTATAAATCAAAGTTAACAATTAATTTTAATTATATATTTTTCAAGATCATAACTTTTCAATTATATATTTTATCAACTTTTATAAAAATTTACTAAAAATTGAATTTTAATCTCCACCAAAAAGGAATTTAGGGCTCGACTTTTAAAAAATTAAAAGGATTTTTTGAGACTTAAAAAGCTATTTTTTGGACCAGTTTGACTAATCTTATGAAAGTACTTTTGATAGTTAAAAGCACTTCTGGCATAGAAAACTCTTTTAAAAATTAAACAAAACTTAAGATAATTTCCTCAAAAAATTATTGATAAAAGTAAAAGTAAAAATAAAAGTTATACCAAACGGACCCTTAATATATCTCATATTATATACTTTGATGTCACTGTAAATTCAACTTTAAACGCTATTATTTAAATTCTTTCTCGTTTATATTCTAAATTTTTTAATTTTAATATTCTCGCTATGCTTGTACATTTTTGGACGTGAATCACGTGATCTTTAATTTTAAAAAGTAGTTAGCAAAGTGTCATTTAGCAATTTTAAATCTAGTTACAAATTTGAATTTACTTTTTAATTTACAATTAAATTTTTTCTTTTTATAATTTCAAGAATAATATAAAAAATAAAAATTCAATAATCTCGAGGGAGTTATTATACTATTTACTCAAATAATTCTATATACCGTATAATTTTCAAAAATTAATGCAATTCTCGAAAATCTTTTGCATTCTTAATTTCATCGACAAGATGAAGTCTCGATAGTTCCAATTAGGCTTTCTTAAAGTTAATTAATTTTATTATTATATAATACATGTAATTAGCCTTGGTCAATTAATGATAATGTGAAACACGAGATTTGACCAATATCATTGTAATTTTGACGACCCGACTGAATCTAATATCGAAATATATATATATATATATATATATGACAACTTGACTAGGTATATGTAATATTCTTGAACTATAGACACCAAATAAAAGTTGCATTATAATCTTGTTGGTGTTGCTATCATAATCATACTTAAATTTGAGTTCAATTATGGTTAATTACCAAATTAATGATGATTGGAGACACCTCAATGGTTATGCCTTAATTTAAATTAGATAAAGGATAATAGTAACAAGAAAATCGTACATATAATACACGAGTTAATGAATTGAATGCTTATTAAACTTGTCGCTGAATTATAATTTATGTATCGAGCAAAAATTTTAACGGTTACTCATCTATCACTGGGAGTGGAATTCGTTACTCCTACTTAATGGAAATTGCAATGTGACAGACATGTCATTTTTGACAACGATAAATTATAGAAATAATTAAATGAATACTCATTAGACTTAATTCTATGTTACAATTTACACATTGAACAAAAATGTTATCAATTGCTCGCTCATATATTCAACTGTTACTTGTCCATCATTAGAGATAAGTTTAACGAGCATATATTTAATTAGCTCGATAATTCAAAGTCATCAATGTGGTTTCTTTAGCAAAATGATTCAATTTCTAACAGATTTCACAGTAATGGATGGATAACCATTTGGATGGGTAATCATTTGAACAAATGAGTGGGCATTGAATGACATTTTTTGCTCAGTAAGTAAGTAGTGACTTAGGAATAAATAGTAAGCATTTATTTAATAAACTCTATTATGAATGTACATAAATTAATCTACTAGTTATTCATATAATTTACTCTATTATACACGTGTAAATTAATCTATAAGATATCCACATTATTCTAAGATATCCACGTTATTCCCTATTGCTTACGGTATTTTTTTTTCTTCTTCTTTAATTATGATTTTCAAATTAAGAGAGATCAAGAATATTCTCATAGCTAGTTAGAGAGGACCAATTGTAACTTCTTGTTGTATCGAGTTATGTGAATTTATATACACATAAAAGACCATAGAAAGAGATATTACATAATTAGTTTAGTTCTCATCCTTCAAAAAAATTTCAGTGGAAGCTAACTGTAGTTACTTCTTAAGGATGCACAAAAAGGAATCAACTAGACTAGGTCCAATTCCTTATGTAGTTGAAAATTTTGAGCAATGTAAATAAATGACTAATCCCTTATTGAATTGATAAAGGTTATAAAGTTTCATTGTCACTCATTTTTATTGAAAAACTCCAATTGCACATGAGGAGGCATATTGAGAACCAATAATGCCGTTTTACCAGGATAGAACCTCTACCGACCCTCACAGCACGTGTGGACCCACCTGCATAAAAATTGGCACAAACCTCACCCACCCATGCTGTGAGTGCTTGGTACCTTGTACTCCAATCATAATTGATTGAAAACAATATCTAAATGATATGCATGTGGCTCTTTAACAGGTTAAACTTTTAGATCAAATGATTGAACAAGCAAATAATCCTACTGCAAGCAACAATCATATATTTCTACTATGGCTATAAATAGCATTCAATGCATCTATGGTATCCAATTTCAGAAAGAAACATGAGAACTTTCTTCTGGCATCACACTATATCTTTGTAGCAAATTACACATACACAATTTTGATGGATTTGTTCAGTATATCTTTGAAGCACTTTTGGCCACTTCAGTTAATAATTGAGGACACAAGTTTAGGTCTGAAAATCTGATAGTAGGTTCAGTTCATATTTACATCCATTCTGTGGATGGAGCAAGTGTAAATCATCGACTCCACAATCCATCGAGGGGAAATGGTTCGAAATTAAGAGCTGGTATTACCTGTGCATCAGTACCCCCTGCACCAGCTGTGATTGTGATAACAGCACATTCTTTATCGTAGGAGCCAGAAAGAAGTTGAGTCGATTCAAACCGATCCAATGTCTTGTTCTGTATCAACTGAGTCCATCTCCTCAGTAAGCAGATCTATTGTCTCTGCATCGTCAACCTGTGTCAAAACTTAATATTTAGATATCATACAGGTGAACACAGGGACGGATCCAAGATTGGATCCACGACCGGGCTACTACGTGGAAAAAAAAAAATTTTACACATAAAAAACTGATTTTTTAACCAAAACAAATAAAAAATACCTTAAAAAAAAACTCTTGGACCTGAGGGGAGGGGGGCTACAGCCCAGCCCAGCCCCCCTATATTCGTCTCTGGGTGAACATTAAGTGCATGTTTGGTACATGATACTAGCTAGACTACTAGACAGAACCATGAATATGAATTTAGTTTAATGATAATTTACCAGGTTGACAATTTTCATGAAACTAATATGAGAAAATTAGTCGAAAGTTTCATGATAGTGAAATAAAGACCTGTGATTTGAAGTCATTGATACATTTTATTTTGTCTTTCACGTCAGTCAAAGCCTGAAGGGTCTGCTGGGCTTTGGCACGATCATCCCAAAGAGAGTTGTCTGCCACCGCTGCCTCCAAATCTTCAAGATTTCCTTGAGCTGATTCAGACCAGAAGCGGCCCTAATCTCTTCCACGCGTTCTGAGGTAGTCTCCACACCTTTCCTTAGAACTCTGCAATTTTATCATAGCAAATAATTTGTACGATATTGAAGCCATTAAATTTCGTGGACTAAATGCGGTGACTACTTTTGGAATAAGCAGACATGATGTGAAAAACATAATGGAGAGCAGCACATTCTGCTTAACGCCTCAAGGATGCAGAAAATGCTGAAATGGCTTTATACATACAAAGAAGGGCTGATAATGGGAACCCTAATTCGATGAAGTTTCATATAGAATTAGATTGACTAAAATTTAGAGTGAGGTGGGCTCTTGTCCATTCTCTTAACTGATAAGTGTATTTTCTTATGCAAATGAGATGCTGAGCGACTTCATTGTAGCTGCTACAAGCCTACCAGGTACTTGTCGTGTAAACAAGAGCAAGAGCATGATCTTAAAGTTAACGTTAATGTTCATGATCTTCATCAACTCAATCGGGAAATATGCAGAATTTCTTACAACTGTCTATACTGCACAATCTCATGAGATTGGATTCTTCGTCCATGGAACATGACATGGGGTCTAATTCTTAGGTCTACAGTAATGAAGCTGGCGGGGATGGCAACCGACATCCTGCATCCTATCAATTAGGCGTTGCAAATGGAAGTAATGATAACTTTGCTGTTCAAGAAGGATTAAGCCAAAATCAGACAAATGGTTCAGAGGAGAACGAGGTAAAACCGCTTAGTACTTGTGAGAAAACGTTTGGATCGGGAGATCCTTATCAGACTAGAAAATCAATTATGAATCTCAACAATCTTCTTAAAGATGCTACATATACAAGGAGATTAAACATATAGCATTATAGGGGAACATGTAGCATTAATTCATCGGGGCTGGGACAAAAAAATGTTTGGGAAATGCTAAGGATATTGATGCTACCAAAAATCGTACTTGTTGATTTCCCGAGTTTGAGGATTTTGAATGAGTATGATCGTAGTCTTCCGGTACCTGAAACAAAGGCAACGAGGTATGTTCTCGTCGCCCCTCCGATGTTTAAGTCAGAAAAGAAATTATGTGCGTGAGGTTATAAACTGAAAATAATGAGAACGTACCTGATCAGTGACCC